AATAGCACTGATGTATGCCATAAGGGGTCTCATATATACTCACCATATGATTGACGTATAGTATGAACGCTAACCATAGGAAAGCCACTCCTCAGAGATTAGTCACAAAACTAGAGCTAAAGCTTTGAGATTCACATCGAAATCGGCGTTAAAACGGTTTTAATCATACATTTCGTTAAAAATCTTAATATATTGAAGACTTTTCCACAAGTTTTCGGGTTTTAAACACAATTTAACTCAACTTTTCGCACAGTATTTGAGTTTTGCGTGCATTTTATAGCGACACCTATCGGGTGAACACAGCGTCCACTCAAACACAACATGCAATCAACGCCTTTGCAATAACCAGTAATTACGTGAACCCATAGCGCGCGCTGCGAACAGACGATAGTGTTTCAGAGTCTATGCGCCCATTGGCAGCGCCCGTAAACACTTCACTGCCGTACACCGCGCTATATAATCAATAGCACTCAATAACACGCGACTCTATGCACAGGCTTTACAGTGAAAGCAAACATTCAAATCAAGTGAACAGTTTTGAATAGACACTGAAATTCCGTTACACTCTATGAGAGGCCATCACTTGTTGTGTGTATTTTAGTCATCGTTTTAATTGTAATCAAAAATACATTTTTATCCCAAGAGTTGATCCATTGTTTGGTGCGTTTGTTATCCACTGACGTCGACCGCAACTTCTTGTGTCCATTCAGTGACCACTCGCGTACAGAGACTATCACTAAAACTCATAACCACTTCACACGTAAACCCATTGATTCATTGATCACTTACTTTGAGCTCATGATTATGGGATCAAATGACAATGCATTTAACACATCCGTTCATATCACTTACCATTGATTATCAGTTCCCGAGGAAGACTTGATCCGTGCGAGCGATGCTCTCGAAGACCACGTTAGGAGTGGCCGCAGGTGTCGGCGCTTTCCTCGTCTACTGTGTATACTTTGACCGCAAACGCCGATCTGATCCCGACTTCAAAGTCAAACTCCGAGAAAGTGAGACAATCGGTCCATCGCTGTGCGACCACTCGACACGTGGTTCGCCACAAGAGTTATCTTATGATCTGTTTCTAATTGCCTCCAAAAGAGCGAAAACAGGCGGCGAAGGCTCGCGAGTTGGGCGCCGACGCCATCGATCTGCCGGACCTTAACGACTACGAAGCCGTTCAGCAGTTCTTCATCAAAGAGGTCCAGTTGGGCGAAGAGCTTCTGGCGGCCGGTAACTGATCACGTCATGTGTGGTAACCCATTGTCTCGTATCCACTAATCGATGGTGTGTTTTGTGTCCTGTATTTGTAGGCGATATCGAGCCGGGAATCGATCACTTGAGTAATGCTGTGGCAGTCTGTGGTCAACCGCAACAACTGCTTCAAGTGCTTCAGCAGACACTACCGCCGCAAGTGTTTCACCTGTTGCTCCAGCGGTTGCCAATTGTGAGTCAGGTATTGGGTTTTTATTAACTGATTACCACTAGTATCTGTAGTATCTGTAGCCCTTGATTTCAATGATCACCTAATGGTCTGATTGTGTGTATGTCTTGTTTGTGTCCAGAAAATCAGCAAAATGGAGAACAAAACGGGCGGTATTGTAGAGCCCGGACACAACGTCCAGGCGCTAGAGGCTATGGCCGAGGAGGACGTCGAGTGAGATACCTGTCGCCCCCCGCGCGCCGACTAATTGTTTGACTCATTTAGGAAATTGTCTTTTTTTGTCCCCTTTTTTACTCTCAAAATTCAATTTAATTGTCATTTCGATTGATTTATACGATAATAATATTACATAAAATGTTTTTAACCTATCGGTGCCATTCATTAACACATCTAATGTGAGGCTCCGGTAGTGAGAATTAATTGGATATTTTATTAATAGATTTAATGTTTATTAATGTTTAGTCGCCAATGAAATAAATTCATAATTTTTTTGTCAAAACATACAGCGATTTCTAAACTTTATTTTTTTATGAATGAGTTTCACATTTGATTACTTGATTGGAGTCATAAATGTAATGTGAAATGAATTATCATTACACCGGATATGAAAGTCATTATACAAGTGGTGTAAATTAAATAGCATTTAAATGATTATATTATATGAAAATAATTATTGTTAATTACTATTACCTTATCTTAGAGTACCTGTAATTTCGTGAGCAATGGGTGGGAGGG